CACAAAAGAACGTCGAAATAGACTCACGAAAATCTATCTAAGCCTCCATCTACCCACCACCCGCTTCACCGATATCTACAAAGGGTAACATATGTAAGTGAATAGGGCATTCCATCACTATCCCCGATTCCGGGAAGCTGAACCCAATCTATTAGTCCGACGACAACGTTTCTTGACAAGACGAATCTCTTCCGCCTCGAAGGTGAACTCACGCATATCCTATGGGCCCGTGATCCATGAAATACCAAAGCTGAGTGTTCCTTGTGGGTGCAGAGGAACCGTTTCACGGATAAACGCGGTTGGAGAAGCTAGGAGAGGATGAAGGGAAACCTCCACAACGCCGAGATTCTCCCGCACATCATGGGCGCGCTCGTCAAAGACCACAAAGACGATGGATCCGTGGGCGATGTAATGAATAAGTTCTCGATCCACGACTACGCGATGATCGACAGGTATGGCATCGAAAACGGGATCCGTCGTGAAGGCGTTTCCCGCCGTTCGCACCACCGTATCCCGCACAAACCCTAACCCCCCGTGAGGGGAATGGGCGGTGTAAAAGACATACGGCTGCGGCATCGTTCCCCCTTCCACGGAGGCCAATCCCTCCGCCTTAAAGACGTGCACGCGGAGAAAAAGAAGCGAACGGAGTGCGATCAACGCCGCGCGCATTTCCGCCGCGGAGAGCAACGCGCCGGCCGTCAAGGGTTGGCCGAGAAGCACCGGCAGCATGAGCTGTGAGCAGCACATTTCCATCAACACCCACCCTACTTTTTCGCCCGTTCCATCGATGAGATCGAATCGCTCCTCGATAGATAACTCGCGGGCGGTGAGGAGGGCGATCCCGGGGATCTCATGCATCGCCACGATGCGGCTCCCAAACTCCGTTACCTGATGCAGTTGTAGGGTGAAGAGGGTGTGTTGAATCTGCGCGAGGGTGATCTCATCCTTACCGAGGCCTTTATACACAAACCGCACATCCATCGGCTCCTCCAAGGCGTGCAAAGTCGGAGAAAGCATCGTGTCGTAGCCTTCCAACCCATCCAAGGTGAAAAACACGGAGACGGGATCCCGGATCGTGCGCACCCCAAGCGCCCGGGGAAGGCCCTCCTCCGCTTCCAAGGCGCGAATGCAGAATTGGATGAGCCCATTTTTCGCCTCCGCGGGGTCGCCCGCGTCGGGTTTCGCCACGGCGGCGCGATAGGCCTGCAGTTGCTGCTTCGCAAAGACCGTCTGGACGTGCGAAACGCGGCGTCGAAGCTCGAGGTTCTCCTCCAGCAACGCGTCGCGCTCGCAGGCGAGGCGATCAAGCTGCGCGCGATGCCGGGCGGCCTGCTCCGCCATCTGCTGACAGCGCGTTTCGGCGAGCTCGAGATCGAGCGCGGCGGTCGCCAAGGCCTCGCGAAGTTGCCCGTGCTCCCACGTTTCATCCCAGTTGAGGGCGTCGTAGAGCTCTAAGGTTTCGGCGGCCTCGACATCGCTGACGGGGGCGCCGGAGGGGGGGGGGGGGTTCGTGGTGGCCTCCCCACGACGTTTCCGCATCGCGGCCACCGCCAACGCGCGGTGGATCTCCTCCTCGTTCAACTCCTTCGTAGTGTAGCTCGAAAAGGCCGCCCGCGAGGCGAGCTCCGTGGCTTCCTTCTGCACCGCTTCCAGTCGACTTCGATACATCGCGAGGTCCGCCTGCAGACTCGCCTGCGCGCGATTCGCGTCGGCTAAATCGTGCTGACATGCCCGCAACATGCGCTCCTTCTCACGACGCCCGGCATCCGCCTGATCGCGCATCGCTTCCAAATCGGCAATCCGCGCGTTGAGCTCCCGCCGCACCGCCTGCTCCGTCTCCGCGTTGAACCCGCGCAAGGCGTCCGTCAGCTTCAGAAGCTCCTGTTCGAGTTGCAGGACCTCTTCGTTTCGCCGGGTTAAGGTGAGTTCGACCTCCTCCAGACGCGCACATTTCGCCTGCAGGCCGGACTTTTCATACTCCACCCGCAGCACCTCTTTTTTGCTCTCCGCGAGGTTCGTGTGAAAGTGCTTCAGCTGCTCCACCAGCCGCGCACACTCCGCGTTGAGGGTCTCGATCTGGCCTTGGGTGTACTGAAGCCGGCTCGTGAGAACGGCGATTTGGTTCGATTTATCCCGCACATCGGCCTGGAGCTGAAGGAGCCCCATGGGGTCGGAATCCTGGGCTTTTTTCGCCTCCGCCTCTTTTTCGTGCTCCGCAAGCAGCTTCAGCCGGAGCGAGAGCGCGTCTTTTTCACGCGAAACCCGATCCAAGGCCTGGCGTAGCAGCTGCTCGGAGTCTTGACGGGCCGCCTCGCTTGCCTGGAGCTGCTGGGTGAGATGGGCGATCTCGCGGGTGTGGGTTTGGTGTTGAAGTTCCTCCGTGGTTCTGATCGCGGCCTGGGCATGCATGAGCTGCTGTTGGAGCGTAAAAATCTCCTGTCGTTGCCGCACGCACTCCAAAAGTTGTTGCTGAAGGGCGGCGTTCGCGTCCGTTGGGGTCGGGGCCGACGTCGGAGCGGTCGCGCGCTCGACTAAGGCGTGCAGCCGTTCGATTTCTTCATTTGCCTGCCGCAAGGCGGCTCGACAGGCGAGGAGTTCCTCCATCGGCCCCTTTGAAGGGGAAGAAGGGGGCGCGATGTCGGCGCGAAGCCGCCCATCCGCGGTGGCGGGGCGTGCAATGGACGGCAATTGCGTCGCCGGCGGGGGGTCTTGCGCGTGGCTGAGCGTGGATGCTCTACGGCAGGCGTTGGGCGTGATAGGCTGAAGCACACGACTCGGGATGGAGGAACGGGGTTTCGGCGTTTCCGCCACCGACCGTTTCCAATCCGCAGCAAGGCGCTGGAATTGCGTCTGGACACGCGTCAACTTTTCATTTTTTTCTTTGAGTTCTCGTTTGAGCCGGGTGTTTTCCTCCAACGTGCGCTCCAGGCGATCCTCGATATCGCGATTGTCGGCCGTCGCTCGGAGCAGCTTTTGGCGCATCATGACGTGAGTCTACTCGATGCTGTAGACGTGTGGGGGATTAAGGGCAAGGCTAAATATGAACTTTCCTCCGTTGAGCCTCAAAAGTCTCTGGAGGATCTATTGCGTGTATGGGGGAATGTCCGTAACTCCCAAATAAGTTGCCTATGGCTCTAAAAGGTTATCTATGGGATGTTTGATTTTGAATGCTATGCCCTTCGCCCCCCTCCCTTTTGCACTCAGAAGAGCTAGCAAACAATCAACAACAAAAAGGCTCTAACCAAGTACACTCAATCCCTTTCTACAACAACGTTTAGGGGTGTGATAAAGAAACAAAATATTGAAAAGCTAACAACTAGATTCAGTTCAGATCATAAATAAAGAACACCTTCTTTTATCAGATAAAACTAGAGTTCGCCTATCGCGTTTTTGCTCCTCCCCTCGCTTACACCATAGCTTTAGCGATGAGCGTAAACGTTTATATTGTCTGCCCACATGGTATTCTGAGCTCTTGCCTGGTTCGCCTTCTTTCGAATCTCAGCTGTATCCTGAGAGAGCTTCTCTAAGTACTTCTTCTCTTCAGCCCTGATGAGCTCCGCGTTGGCGCGCTCCTCTGGGGTGCCGTGCAAGCGCCTGCTCCCGTCAGACATCTCAGCGTACTGCACGCTGATGATGCGATCTCGGAAAACCCGTTGGTTCATCTCCGCAATAACTTTATCACTCGCCTCAAACGTTTGGTACGACAAAATCACGGTACCACGGAAGTTCCCCATGGCATCCCGCATCATGCGTGGAGGCGCCGCGAAGGGCCCGAACTGTTCGAAAAAGGACGTGATATCGAACTCCAGAGCGTTCGGATCAACGTTGCGCACCGCCACCATCGCACCCACCTCATGCAGGCCGTACGTCCACCGACGCCCACCGGCCTCGCTCTTCGTAAGCGTCGTGCTCGCATGACTGACTTTGATCTCCTTATTAAATAACTTCACCCGAGCGAGGTTGAGGGCGTCGTAGCAGTACTTGGCATCCTCAGGGCATCTAAAATCGACGAAGCAGTAGTTCTGCCGCTGCGCCATACCATTCATGGTTCGCACCGTTGGCCACGTGATGTTGACGACGGGTCCGAACTGAACGCAAAGCTCGTGAATAATCCCCTCATCACACTGCTCTGAGAGACCGTTGAAGACGACTCGGCGGAGATCTTCTCGTTTGTACGTCGCCATGGGTCCCTAATGTGTTTAATCTAACTACAATCCTTATTAATGGGTAGTTTTTTTTCCCGTCGTCGCACTCTTTCCTGGTGAGTAGCAAGATGAATAATCAATGAAGGAACAGCGTTAACAAGAACAGGTTGAGCACTTATGAAGACCACCAAGGGAGGTAGGAAAAAAAGAAAGAAACAACCCAACTTAAGACCATTTCTTTTATCACTGCGATCTACAGGACGACATATGGATCTCACCCCTTTTATAAATCAATTAAGCCTCATTTTCTACCGAAAAGAAAGAAAGAGACCGCTTCTTACTGCTCCAGCAGTGCGATAGCCGCCTGAAGATCCTCCGTTTCATACCGGGAGAGCGACGGGATCAGCACCAGAGCCTCCTCCACATTTTTGGGTACTAGCGTGGCGAGCGCGACCACTTCAAACTCCTTTAAGCGTGTCTTGGTTGTGGTGCTCCCATCCGCGCCGGTGCGGTAGGTGCTAAACCCATCCAACGACGTTGGAATCCCGGCGTTGCCGATAACCTCGGCCTCATCACGGCGGATGCGAAGCCGGATTTGATGCAATTCACTCACCGCATACTCGTTCACGCAGGATTCTTGCAGCATGTTCACCTGTTGGTAGCAGCTATCGATGAGACCTTTGGCTTTGTCGGAATCCTCCATATCCTCCAGCCGCTTACGGAGGAATTGAGTGACGACGGGCAAGGTCAACGGGGTGGCGTTACTGAAAACCAAGCCGAGTTCCCCCGCAACATAGTTCTCCTCCGTCATTGAGAGCGCACACACACAAAAAAAAAAAACAAGCAAACCGAGAAACCCAAAAACTCACGCGAAGGGGGTTGGGGAGAAGGGTGCAGCTTCAACAGCAAGGCGTCGAGAATTTTCTTGTTTGTTTTCTTTATATGCACTCGCTTCCTTTTCAGAAGACAAATGAAATAGAATAAAGGTGATGTTTTTTTTTCTACGAGGGGTGAGCCTCTTGATCACATATCCGCCAAATAAAGTTTTGATTAAAATAGTTAGTCGTATAATTTAGATTGAAAAAGGAAAGGATGTGTAATGGTACCAACACTCTTTAATAATGCTTATATAGGAGGCCATTGTCGATATCATTCACTCTATTTTAGTTTAAAGAACAATACTATTTGCCTGAAGCATAAGCGGACGCATAGTTTGTATATATATATATATATATATATATTTCAAGGGAGTACATTCTAAGAAGTTTAATTTCGCGAATAATTTTTGCGCGAGATTTCACGAGCTGGCATGTGTACTTGGGTTCCGATAATTTTAAGATCATCCCATGGATTTGATGCCGAGATGTTATTCTTGATTGCTTTAATAACCTTCGATTCCGGAGGATGGAGAGCCATGGGGTGAGGAGCTGCCAGGTAATTCTGTCGGTGTGGATCTAAACTCCCCCCCAAGGGCATTGATGTGGCCCGCAGGGTTGGAATCTGCCCGCTTGGATGGCCATAAACGTTGGTGTAGTAATCAAGCGATGAGATCGCCAACGAGGTATCCAATTCACCCCCATGAGGGTTGCCAGGCATTGGAATCGAGCGCATGGTCGACAAGGAGGAGCATCGGCGGAGAAAGGTCTGGCGTAGGATGCCCCCGACGCCATGCGGGCCCGTTCCCCAGGGTTCGTTTCCTTTCCTGCCGCCCCCACACGTCCGGATATGATCCACGTGGATCGCTTGCCGGGGGAGATTCCCACGGCGGGATTCGACATCGCCCGAGAAATGGTTCGCGTGCGTCTGGTGGGGATGGCCATCCTCGAGGGAGGCGATGAACCTCGACAAAGGCCCGACGCGTTGGACGGATCGCAACAACCGTGAGGAGAGGCGCGCACGGGAGGAGATCTGCCCTTCCGAGAAAAGACCCCCCACCCCACCGGGGTGGGGAGTGGTCGGCAACGGCGAAGGCAGCTGCCCGGCTATGCGATGCAGCTGAGATGGATGGGAAGGGGTCGATCCCACGACCCGTCGTTTCGCCGGCGTGGATTCTTCCCGTCGGAGAAATCGTGCGGGAGCGCCGGAGGCGCGTAAGGGGAGCCGGATCCCCCGCTCCAACGACGGC